CCCAAGGAGTTGGGCCATCTTCCACTGCTATCTCAGGCCATAGCAGAGAGCTGGATCAGAAGAGCCCTGCACCCCAGGGGAGACCAGGAGAAGCACCTGGCTCCTGCCATCGGATCAGCGCGGTGCGCCAGCCGCAGCGTGCCACCTGTGGCGGCCATTGGAGGGTGAACCAACAGGCAAAGGAAGACCTTTCTCTCTGTCTCTCTCTCTCACTGTCCACTCTGCCTGTCAAAAAAAAAAAAAAAAAAAAAAAAAAAAAAGAGAGAGAGAGAAGAGGAGCAGCCGGGACTAGAACTGGTGCCCATATGGGATGCTGGCACTTCGGGCCAGGGCTTTAACCCGCTGCGCCACAACACTGGCCCCACTTGCATTGTTTTAATCTACAAAGTTGTGATAATTTTTTACAGTAGTAACTGGGGTTGATTATATCCCCTACACACACCTTACCCTTTGTAGAATCAGCCAGGAAGCCAGAAAACAAAACTCCAGTCCATGGGGCCCCTTTCCAGTGCTTTTGATTCACTTAATTATGGTCTGGACATTAGTATATTTTAGAAAGCTATGCAGGAAACATTGAGCTACTTTTACTCAATGCTATCTCCTTTATTTTATTTTTAATAGAATTTTAAAAAAGATTTTATTTATTTTTTTGAGAGTTAGAGTTACAGACAGAGAGAGGGAGAGACAGAGAGAAAGGTCTTCCATCTGCTGGTTCATTCCCCAAATGGCTGCAATGTCCTGAGCTAGGCCAATCTGCAGCCAGGAGCCAGGAACTTCTTCCAGGTCTCCCATGTGGGTACAGGGGCCCAAGCACTTGAACCACCTTCCACTGTTTTCCCAGGCCACAAGCAGAGAGCTGGATCGGAAGATGAGTGGCCAGGACTCGAATCAGTGCTCATATGGGATGCCAGCGCTGCAGGTGGAGGCTTAGCCCACTACACCACAGTGCCGGCCCCAGTGCTGTCTCCTTTAAATGAAGTGCCCAGACACTTTGGGGGCTTTAAAACAGTACCATTGCACTGCCAGGACTCTACTCTCAGAAAATCTGATGTAATTGCTCTGAGGTGGGGCTGAGCATTGCTTTTATTGAAGTTCCCTGGTGGTGCTTGGATGCAAGTTTAAGAACCAGTACTCTGGGGCTCAGTGAAAATGTAACCTGTACTGCAAACTAACTAACTAACTTCTTTCTTTCTTTCTCTCTTTCTTTCTTTCTCTCTTTCTTTCTCTCTCTCTCTCTCTCTCTCTCTCTCTCTCTCTCTCTCTCTTCCTTCCTTCCTTCCTTCCTTCCTTCCTTCCTTCCTTCCTTCCTTCCTTCCTTCCTTCCTTCCTTCTTACATGGTTGTTTTTTATTATAACTTTAATTAGTTTTTAACAGATTCATTGTGATTTTTGGATACAATTCTAAGACCATGATATTCTCTTCCTCCCTTCCTCCCTCCGCTCTCTCCCCTCCACCTTCCTTCTTTCTCTGTTTCTTTCATTTTTTTATTTTTTGAGATAACTATTTTAAATTTACATTAAAGTAAAAAGGCTTAATACTTCACCTAGTAAGTTTAGCAAGTAAAATGCAAAAAGGTCCTAGACAATGCTATAAACAACAATTGAATGTAAAAATGACCATTTCACCCATATGTAGTACATTTTAAAGTAATCACAGATCACTAAATCTATGCTAGTATAACTTTTAAATTTTTAATTATCTTTATATACAGAAGATAAACTCTATACTAAGTAAAGATTTCAACAGTTTGCACCCACACAGACACACAAAGTATAAAGTACTGTTTGAAGACTAATTTTACTGTTAATTCGCATAGTACAACACATTAAGAACAGAGGTCCTACATGGGGAGTAAGTGCACAGTGACTCCTGTTGTTGATTTAACAATTGACACTCTCATTCATGATGTCAGTGATCACTCGAGGCTTTTGTCATGAGCTGCCAAGGCTATGGCAGCCTCTTGAGTTCGCCGACTCTGACTTTATTTAGACAAGGCTATAATCAAAGTGGAAGCTCTCTCTTCCCTTCAGAGAGAGGTACCTCCTTCTTTAATGGCCCCTTCTGAAAACTTCCTTCTTGATCACTCCAGCATTGCGAGGTTTCTCTGTGCAGCCAATAATCCTCTTATAGAATGTCAGGTACTGTATCCTATTATTTCTATATGTGTCTAAGTTCTTCCCTGGGATTGCTTTCTTAAAAAGCTAGACAGTAGGTATAACTCAACGCTGAGTCCTAAATGGTACCCAGAACATGAGTTGCAGATGATGTGGCAGAAGTCTCCCCAGCTTCCAGCGTGGGCTTCCTTCTCTGAAGCTGTTTTTACTTTGCATTTCCTTTGAAATAGTCAATGCTTTGGTATTTTTTTTATTGCTTTGCGGAAGAAAATTATATTCTAATATTTAAGAAAGGCAATTTCTATCTGCATTAAATTTTCATGTCTTTAAAGCATTTTGCCATTTTTCCCCAGGAAAACTCTCAGTATACTACTTAAATTTGCCTTTGCAAGTGAGCCTTTGCAAAGCTGTTCTGTGTCCTGCAGTTCCTGAAGCTGCCACCAGGAGCGTTTTTGCTAGTTCAAGGCCACCAGTTTGCTGGTCCCCAAGCAAGAGTAACTAAGAGAAGGGCTGATTGTTTATTCATATAAGTATTAATTAATAATTACTAAGCAATAATATAAATAAATTAGAAATTTCTAGCATTCATATGACTGGTTAAAGGAAGATACAAATTAAATAAACATTTAAAGAGATACAAACCCTAAACTGTAGTTTTATACTTTAACGCTTTAAAGTAACTGATCCTTTTATTGGAAAGGCAGACAGAGAGAGAGAGAGAGAGAGAGAGACAGACAGAGAGACAGAGAGACAGAGAGACAGAGAGGATAGGGAGACATCTCCCATCCTTTGGTTTATTCTCCAAATGCAACAGTTGGGGATGAGCAGGGGCCCAGAACTCAATCTGGCTCTCCCATGTGGGTGGCAGGGGACCAATATTTGAACCACCACCTCCTGTCTCCCGGGTGCACATTATCAGGGAGCTGGAATTGGAAGCAGATCTGGGGCTTGAACCCAGGTGCTGTAATACTGGATGTAGGGATCCGAAATAGCATCTTAACTACTGTACTAAATGTTCACCCCCCAAAAGTAACTTGTCTTTAATCTTGCTTAGTGCAGTCTTAAGAAAAAGTTTTTTGTATTATCATTATTAATTGACTATTTATTTATTTTTAAAAACAGGCTTTATATTTTAGAGCACTGTTAGGTTCACAGAAAAATGAATGGAAAGTCCAGAGTTCTCAGGTACTCCCCACCTCAACACACATACAGCCTCCTACACTATTCACAGATTTTCCCCTAGGATTTTATTCATCAGTGATTCCCTATATGCCTCTGAATGGAAATCACCTGGAAAGTTAAAAATTCAGATACCCAGGCCCCTTCCAATCCCACTGAATGAGAATCAACATGCACTGAGGCCTGGGTAACAGCAAATCTGTGACTAGCTCATCTTTTGATTACTCTTAAAATAGAAAAAAAGGGGAAAGTATGTGCACCGGCATCCCCTATGGCACCAGTTCAAGTCCTGGCTGCTCCACTTCCGATCCAGCTCCCTACTAATGTGCCTGTGTAAGCAGTGGAGGATGGCCCAAGTCCTTGGGCCACTGCACCCACATGGGAGACCTGGAAGAAGCTCCTGGCTCCTGGCTTCGGATTGGCCCAGCTCTGGCCGTTGCGGCCATCTGGGTAGTGAACCAGTGGATGGAAGACCTTTCTCTCTGTCTCTACTTCTCCCTATAACTGTCTTTCAAATAAATAAGATAAATTTTTAAAAAATAGGAAAAAAAGTTCTGCTTTATTTACTCAGTAAATGATTATTTATTTATTTATTTTTGACAGGCAGAGTTAGACAGTGGGAGAGAAAGACAGAGAGAAAGGTCTTCCTTCCGTTGGTTCATCTTCCAAATGGCTGCTACGGCCGAGCTATGCCGATCTGAAGCCAGGAGCCAGGTGCTTCCTCCTGGTCTCCCACACGGGTGCAGGCACCCAAGCACTTGGGCCATCCTCCACTGACTTCCTGGGCCACAGCAGAGAGCTGGATTGGAAGAGGAGCAGCCTGGACTAGAACCTGGGACCCATATGGGATGCTGGTGCTGCAGGCGGAGGATTAGCCAAGTGAGCCATGGCGCCGGCCCCAGGATTTTTCTTTTTTAAAGATTTATTTATTTTATTTGAAAGTCAGAGTTACTTACACAGAGAGATGAGAGGCAGAGAGAGAGAGAGAGAGAGAGAGAGAGAGAGAGGTCTTCCATCTGCTGGTTCACTCCCCAGATGGCTGCAATAGCCGGAGCTGTACCGATCCGAAGCCAGGAGCCAGGAGCCAGGAGCCAGGAGCTTCTGGGTCTCCCACATGGGTGCAGGGGCCCAAGGACTTGGCCATCTTCTACTACTATCCCAGGCCGCAGCAGAGAGCTGGATTGGAAGAGGAGCAGCTGGTACTAGAACCGGCGCCCATGTGGGATGCCGGTGCTTCAGGCCAGGGCTTTAACCCGCTGAGCCACAGCGCCAGTCCCAGGATTTTTCTTTCAAACTTTGGTACCCAGATATTAAGGCTTATTCTATATTATTTGAAGGGTATGCATCTTTCTTCCACATATTTCATTATTATTATTTTTGAGAGAGAGTTCCCATTTGCTGTCACTCCCCAAATACTCATGATGGCCCATGCTTGGCTGTACCAAGACCAAAGCAGGGAGCCGGGATTCAATCCAGATCTCCTACGTGGGAGGAGGAACCCATTCACTTAGGCATCATTGCTGCTTCCTGGGTCTGCATTAGCAGGAAGCTGGAGTCAGGAGCTGGGGCTGGAAATTGAATCCAGGTTCTCTGATGTGGGGTCTGGGTGTCTTAAATGCTAGGCTAAATACATGCTACTAAACCTTTTTTTAAAATTTTATTTGAAATAAAAGATCACTGTAAAATGCAGAAGTAGGTAGCTTTTATTGGGGGGGTATTTTAAAAAGAGTAGATACAGATTTCTTCATGTTCTGTGCAATTCTCTTAAGGAATTGTTAAAGAGAGACTTACGAAAACCATAACTCCAGTTGTTTTGACAACATTTACCACACAACTATGGACATACTGAGGTTCTTATATGAAGGTAGGCAGAAGTTCAAAGGCTTGTGTTAGGACGCTAGGGAGAGCAAGGCTGAGGGAGGCTCTATTTCCCTCTCCCTATTACAGGGGAAGAGAAGTTTGTGGAAGAGTAACAAGAATGAGTAAGATGGTAACAGCTGGGTTCCTTTGTATCCACTTCCTGTCTTCTTCAAGCTTGCCTGGACAACCAGACAGCTTGTCACAGGTGCCTCATGGATCTGCCCGCAGGAACATCCTTGCCAGGTGTCTCCTGATTTCCTTGGTTCTGGCCCCATAGATGATGGGGTTGACCACACACGGGAGCAGCAGGTAGAAGGCGCTGAGCAGGTTGTGCACATCCTGGGAGGCGGTGCGGGCCACCCGATAGACGATGGATGAGGACATGGTGGAGGAGTAGACGGTGAAGACGACCAGCAGGTGGGAGCCACAGGTGTTCAGGGCCTTGGAACGCGCGCCACCTGACGAAATCCTGAAGGCGGCATGGATGATGCGCGAGTAGGAGGCTCCTAGTAGGAGCATGTCCAGGACCCTGTTGAAGATGCGGACGGTGAGGCCCACGGTCTTGTTCAGGGAGATGTCCCCACAGGAGAGCTTCATCAGGGCCATGTGCTCACAAGCAAAGTGGTAGATCACATGTGAGCGGCAGAAGCGAACCCGGGAGGCCAGTGCCACCACTGGAGCAACAATGCATGTGCTCCTGGCAGCTGCCGCCCCCACCAGGCCAGCCAGCAACTGGCCTGTCACTATCTCAGGGTAGCGGAGAGGGTAGCAGATGGCCACATAGCGGTCCAGGGCCATGACCAGGAGGATGCTGCAGTCAAAAGCAAGGAGGAAGTAGATGCAGAACATCTGGAGCAGGCAGTGAGCCAGGGAGATGCGGTGGAAGCGTGTGGAGAAGCTGAGCAACATGGCAGGCACCACCGTGGTGGCAGCACAGATGTTGACAGCCAGGAGCAGGGCAATGAGCAGGTGCATGGGCTGGTGCAGGCTCCGCTGGGCCACCACTGTGTGGATGACCAGGGCGTTGGCGGAGATGATCACCAGGTAGAGGCTGAGGAAGGGCAGCATGAGGAGGGCACGAGACTCCTGCAGCCCTGGGAAGCCCACGAGGAGGAAGCTGGTGTAGGACATGTTGGAGCTTCCACTGCTCAACCGTGACATTGGGGAGGATGGCTCCAGGTAGAGTAGGGGGGCAGGAGGTCTGGTTTGTGTCCCAGCCCTTGCTAGGACCTGCCCCAGCGTCACCAAGCTGGACTGAGTGCTTTGGTTTTCATAAACCTCCGATATTCCTAGAGAAAAAGACAGGAGTGCAGGAACAGATTTTACTGAGATACTTGTCTTTAAATGAATCTTTGCCTGCATTTCAAATAAATTCCTTAGAGTCCATTCTGGATGTGGAATTACTGTGTCAAGTTATCATCACTCTTTTGAGGATTCCAAACGGGTTTCCAGGGAAGCTGGCTCAATCTTGCCACTGAGCTACTGGTACTAGTATTGAATTACCATGAATTTTAAGAATTTGATAGTTGAAAAATGCTATCTTATTTTCTTTTGCAAATTCTCTTTTGTGCATTTTTTATTCATGGACTTAGCCCATTTGTCTGTTAGGGACTTAATGTTTCCCTTAGTCATTTAAATGCTAAAAATCATTATATATATATTTTTTAAACAGTTAAAGTTTACAGATCTTATTAGTATTATTTTTCTTACCCTTTCTTTTTTAAAAGTCTATATTTATTTATTTGAAAGGTAGAATGTGGAGGGGGGAGGGGGAGAGAGAGGGGGAGAGAGAGAGAGAGAGAGAGAGAGAGAGAGAGACCTTCCATTTGTTGATTCACTCCCCAAATGGCCACAACAACTGAATCTGAGCCAGACCAAAGCCTGGACCCAGGAACCCTATCTGGCCTCCCACACAAGTACTTGATCCACCATCTGCTGCCTCCCAGGGTGTGCATTAGCAGGAAGCTGGCTCAGAAGCCGGGGTGGGACTGAATTCCATTTACCTTGATGTGGGATGCCAGTGTTGTAAATGGTGGCTTTACCACTTCACCACAATGTCTCCCAGTATTCTATTTTGTTGATGATGTTGAGTAGAAGCTTAAATGTTTTAAAATTTAATTTTCAAAAATTAAATTTGATTGAGTAATTATACATATTCATGGAATCATAACGCAGATGGCCTTGTGGTTGCCTCTTAGCATAATTCATGTATGCTGTACCATGTATCAGTAGTTCCTTCCTTTATAATGGCTGTATAATATTGCATTGTATGGATGTACCCCATTGTATTTATCCATTTATCAGTGATAGAAATTTGTGTTGTTTCCTATTTTTGGCTATTAGGAATAATGTTGCTATGAATGTGCACACAAGTTTTTGTGTAAATGTGTGCTTTCAGTTTTTTGGGCATATACTTGGAGTGAAATTGCTGGGTCATGTCGTAATTCTAGGTTTAATCTTTCCAGAAATGGTCAGATGGTTTTCTGAAGCAGCTACCCCAGTTTGATTCCCACCAGCAAGGGATGAAGGGTCCAGTTCGCTGCGCTCTTGCCCACACGTGTTGGGGTCTTGTTTATTCCAGCCAGCGGCGCTCGAGTGTCTTTCTGAGTGCTGATGCTCTTGTGCCCCTTCCATGTGCTTGTTGGCCATTTTCTTTAGAGAACTGTCTTTTCAAATCCTCCATCCATCTTCAATTTGGTTATCTTTCATTATCGAGTTGTAAGAGAGTACTGTGCTGTTTTAATCACCATAGGCTTGGTTTATTTTGATTTTTAATAAAACAAGTACTTTGTTTTAAACAAGTACTTTGTTTAAAAATTCTTTAATTCTTTAATAAAATTTAATAAAATTCTTTAATTCTTTAATAAAACAAGTACTTTGTTTTAAACAAGTACTTTGTTTAAAAATTCTTTTTATGGGGCCAGCTATGTGGCATAGTGGGCTAAGCCTCGGCCTGCGGTGCCGGCATCCCATATGATACCGGTTTGAGTCCCAGCTGCTCCATTTCCAATCCAGCTCTCTGCTATGGCCTAGGAAAGCAGTAAAAATGGCCCAAGTGCTTGGGCCCCTGCACCCATGTGGGAGACTCGGAAGAAGCTCCTGGCTTCAGATCAGCTCTGTTCTGGCCATTGCAACAGTTTGGAGAATGAACCACTGGATAGAAGATCTCTCTCTCTCTCTCTCTGCCTCTGCCTCTCTGTAACTCTGCCTTTCAAATAAATAAATTAAAAAAAGTTCTTTTTGTTACTTTCAAATTTTATTTTCCCATCTTTCAGAATCATTTTCCAGTTTTCAAAATTAATCCTATGGCGATTTTTAAAAATTGGGATTCCACTAACCCCATCAAGTAATCCATGACAGACATCTTGACATTCCATCTTTTCATCCAGGAAGGAAGTACAGCCTTCCAAGTGTTCAGTTCTTGTTTTCTAGCTCTCAGCGGTTGTGTAATCATGTTTGTATAGGCCCACGACAGCAGGAATTCTGTCCACTTCGCTCATGTTTGTATTCCAGGAACTGAATACAGAACTTGACACCTAGGAGACCCCTGGTCCGTACTTGCTGAGTAGTGAATACATCCCTTCCAAGTTTCTCGTTACACTTACTGTGTATTTTGGGATTCGTTGCCATGGAAAATGCAGTAATTTTCTATCATAGTTTTGAGTTGGCAACAAACTTATATAGGAAAGATAATTATTTTGTACATTTATTCTATGCTGCTTTTTAAATTCCCTTATTTTTAAAAAGATTTATTTATTTATTTGAAAGGCAGGGTTATACAGAGAGAGAAGGAGAAGCAAAGAGAGAGAGAGAGAGAGAGAGAGATCGTTTATCTGCAGGTTCACTCCCCAAATGGCTACAACAGCGGGAGCTGTGCCAATCTGAAGCCAGGATTGGCACAGAAGTCAGGAGCTTCTTCTGGGTCTCCCATGTGGGGGCCGGAGCCCAAGGACTTGGGCTTTCCCAGGCCATAGCAGAGAGCTGGATAGGAAGTGAAGCAGCCGGGACTTAAACCGGCACGTATATGGGATGCTGGCACTGCAGGCAGCAGCTTTACCTGCTATGCCACAGCACTGGCCCCTAAATTCCCTTATTAATTGGAAATATTTTTCAGTTGATCCTCTGGAGAACTATCTTTTTTCTTTTTCTTTGCCTTTATGGTAAGTAAACTTTTATTTCTGTTTTATGTCTTATTTCAAACAAGTCTTTTAGAGCAATGTTAAAAACTCATGAGAAAAGATGTTTCTACGTTTTTCCTCAATTTTAGTCGGACTCCTGTTTCTCTATTACATATAATGGTGCCCATGGCTTTGAGACATTCTTTCCTATTAATGGGGCATTCTCTTGCTTCTGTTTGTAATAATGAAAAAAAAATTGGGAATTGTTAGAGGTTTTCAAATGCTTCTTTGGCACCAACTAATATGAGCCAATGCTTTAAAAGTTTGACCAATTGATCCGTAGATAAAATACACAGTGGTATACTTTCAAATGCTGCTTAAGATCGATTGTTAGTATTTTAGAATTTTATTTAGAAGAGATCTATAGTTTCCTCTTTTGGGGTTATCTTAATGAGGCATTCACATCACGACTAGGCTGGTTTCATAATGAATTGATTCAGTTCCTATTTTAATCCCATGTTCTGGAATAGTTCTTATGCCACAGGAATTTTTCATGCCTTGAAAGTTTGGGGAAAAAAGTCACCAACGAAACAATCTGGACACAGATCTTCTTTGGGTGATAATTACCTGGTAACACTTCCTGATTTCTTTCATGGCAATTCGTCTACTCATGTTTTATATTTCTTCTTAAGCAACTTTGGAAAACGACACCCATTTCATAAAGAATTTTAAATTTATTAGCATAGACTCCTGCAAAGCGGTTTGCATTTTATTATCTTAACCCAAAGAAGTGACCTGTAATATTGGTGATATTTTCAGGCAGGCTCTACCTAGCTCATCTCCAAGCACTCTGCAGAGGGAGAAGGTGGCTCCTTAGGGTGTGCATGAGAACAGGTGCACACACTCACGGAAACACTGAGACACGCACCCCGGAATCCGTAACCATACCCTCTTCTGCAGAAGGCGTTCTGCCCCAGAGCAGATCCATAAGCAGGAATGGCTCTCGTCTCCACTGCTCAGACCCGACTCGGTGCTGGCAGAGACCCCAGTGATCCATCCAGAACTCAGACCATGGGAGGTGTGGACCTCAGGACTTTCTGCCTGCACAGAAGCAGCTTAGCAGGGAGACGGGAGCTGCCAGCCTCGCAGGACTGGGGGTGGCACCGTGCAGGTGGACGCCTCTTCCATACCTTTAGGGCCTCCCTGGCCATGTAAAACCCAAGGACACGTGAGGTCACAGCCATGCATGGCAGAGGGCTGCGGAGGCTGACTGGTTGCCCGCTGCCCTGATCTGCATTTTCTGGGCCTGCCCAGCTAGGGGGATGGGATGCTCAGCACTCTGAGACCAGCAGTTCGCGGTGTGGGGGTGGAGGGGCGGGGTTTACCGAAATGCTGAACTCTGTCTGTGTAGTGTCCTGCCCTTGCCTCCAGGTCTGTCTCTTACCAACTCTGAACAAGGAACTGCTCCGGGTGTTTCGAGAGGAGGGAATGGGGAAGCTAACATTTCTTCTCCGGCCTGCAATGTTCTGGGAGTACTCTCTCCCATGGTTTCCCCACGGCTTAGTAGCCACTGCAGGGTCCGATGGAGGAGTCTCCCTTCATTCACCCACGGACGTGTTTGTTGTCCATCTGTTCTGACCGCTTCTACGCACCAGGCACTCTGCTAGGCCCTGGGGCTTCCTTAGGTGCACTGGGCATGGTTCCTGTGCCTGAGCTGTGCAAAGCCCGCTGGGAGGAACCAAAGACTGGGGAGTCCAGAGCTCTTCATTCAGCCTCTGTGGCTGGGGGTGATGGGGGCGGCTTCCTGGGGGAGGGGGTTTCTAAGGTGAGTCGAAGCTGGAGTCGGCAGGCACGGGCAGGTGGGCTGCAAAGAATTTGTGGGGGTGGGATACAGACGTGAAAGCCGAGGTTCCTCTCCCTATTTCCATGTCCCCAGAGGGACTCCTGGGCTGGGGGAGTCTGGTGGGAGAGGATGATGGAGTAAGGCCAATTGGGAGGGTAGAAGGGAGGGGATGACCGGAACTCGCTCTCATTTTCCAGGTAGGAGGGGTCGGTGGGGCCTGGGGCCTGGGGCAGGGTGTGAGTCAGCTCCCTCGTTCCTCAGCCCATCCTGCCAATGCGCACCACCCACAGCCTCCACCCCAGCACCTGCTGCCCTCCTGGGCTGCTCCCCAGAGCTGGTACTCACCCCAGCGCCATCAGGCCGGAGCAGAGAGAGCCAGTGGGGCTCCCTCTGTGCAGTTAAGTGCACTCCTCCTCCTCCCCCAGGAGCCCGGGCTCCCGCTCAGCCAATGG